TTTGTTTTCGAATTCGCTAAAATAAGTTCTCAATCAAAATTAGTGATCTACAAAAGGAAGTGAGAATCCAAATCCAAGAACATGTAGTCCCCGAGGTATGCTCGTTATCAGCCGATAATACCAACCTACTTGCTCATGAATTATGCAGCTTCGGCAAGAAGCCGGATCAATTCAGTATGAAGCTACTCTAGATCTTAGCGAGTAAGGATTTGGTTTTAGGTACGGTACCTACTTTATTTAGAGCCCTTAAGGGCTTGTCGAAATTGGAAATTTCCTCTTGGGTTAGCGAAGGTACTTAGTTTACCTAAAAAGGCTCAGATTATTAATTGGTCTGGAACAGATTTAGTTTTATCGAAACAAATTGAGGGAACATATTTTGGGGAAAAATAAATTGGATCATATTTCCAAATGTCGTCGTAGAGAGACATCACACGGAACATTTTCGATTAACGTTAGAGCCATTCTACTCGCCTACTTATCTTAGTGAACGGTACGAGTGATGTATTTGGTGTCTGTTCGCGAGAACACCTTCGATAGCCTACGAGAACAAGTTGGTTTGGTCGCTGATCCTATCGCTTCTATTGGTAAAATTCAGGCACAGGATTCCCCATCATGAAGTAAACCACTCACCTTGACATCGCCAGTATGAGCTCGTGCTGGGAGCGTTACGTGTCCGCGTGGTCACCCACTCAGAGACCTTATTGTGCACCCAGGGCCGGATTTAGAGGTCCAGAGGCCTCGGGGCAACAGAGGAGCGGAGGCCCCCTCACCCCAAATTATTTTCCAAATAAAGTAAACATTTTTTTTAAATACAATAATTTAATATAATAATATAGTTTTATTTTTTTCAGTCGAGTTTTTCAATAAATAATTTATTCTGAACCTAGTAGATTCCCTTAGTATTGAACAAACACATATAAACATAAACGGAAACAAAAATTATCTGAAATTAAATCTTAGAGTTAACGAACGGAACCTTTCGAGCTTTTTTCGCCGAAAAATCGTTGATGATTTCGTTAAAATCGAGTTCTCGGAGTAAATCGCTTTCAATGCTCAAGAGAGAAAGCTTCGATAGACGGTTTTGTCCCATCGTGGTGCGAAGCCTATTTTTTTAAATTATAAAAAGTTGTTTACTAGTGTTTACTAGTTGGAATTTGAAAGATTTTTTTTTCCGAAGTCTCTATTGTGGGGGCCCCCCGTCTGTGGAGGCCCCGGGGCTTTCGCCCCGGTTGTCCTCCCCTAAATCCGGCAGTGTGTGCACCAATTTCAAATACAGCTGTTCCACCAATACAAATGTTTGATATACGAGACAACTTAAGCATTTCACTTTTAAGTATTAATGATAATCCACCGAAAACCGATATTCAGAAATATAGTCAAGCACCTTATGTATGCGCTCGCGCCGCCGTGAGAGGTAAAGCGGCAGTGACAGCAGCGCCCGTTACCGTTGAGTCGTGGATTTGCAGTTTACCCACATAATAAGAAATACTATGCCTGGACAGTGTCACAAGCATTTACAGGCTATGGTGGCCGTTTACCATCAGGCGGGCCATACGCTTGTTTGCTACTTTTTTACCATAAAAAAATGACAAGAAAGTCAACAAATGAAGTATTCCGTGGTTTCCTTTAGTTTCCAGTGCAGCATCGTAGTCAAGAGCAGGGCTTAAAACCGGTTTCAAAAACACCGGTAAATAAAGGTTAATACCGGTTTTTAGTAAAAGTTTGATTCGGAGTGCGTCCGAAATAAAAGCGGTACCTAAAACCTTAATAAACCGGTTTAATCCAGAGCAACACCTGCACGCGTCGGCATCGCTTGAAGTTTGTTTTGTTTGAACTAATCAAGTCACAACTTGTTAATGCTCAGAGATTGATTACATGCATCAATCTCTGAGCATTAACGAGTTGTGACTTGACACGTTTGCTAGCGTCTAGTGAGTCAAGTTATTCATTTTGTAGTTGTGTATTTATTTCAGCCGCCACTAAGAGCGTAACGAAATCCTTTAAAAACCATTAAATTGTCTCAAAATCTATTTGATTAGGCTTTTTAAGAAAACCGGTTTTTTTAAGGTTAAGGTAGAGCTAAACCTAAATAAAACGCTCCTAATGTACTTGACACTGATTTAGGTTTGAAAATTAACCGGTAAGCAAGCCCTGGTCAAGAGGTCAAGAGTATTCCTCGCTTGAAGTTATAATGACACTATTCATAACCAACACTTCAGCTGAGCCCCGTTCTTTGGCACAGCAGAAACACTCGAGCCGAAACGGGGACTATGCAAAACGATAAAACTCATAAATTTTGAGCGAGTCGTAAAAGAGTTACTCCGCTGTCACGAATCATAGGCTTTGTTTGTCTTTGACAGATATGGAAACCCGGGTAATGATTTATTCGGGAATATATTATGTATGGGTGAGCATCGAGATCGGATTGTATGTGTTTGAAATATTTAATAAATATTCATTATTCATTTTGAATACTGTGGTAGGTACCATCGAAAATGCTGAAGCGAAATTCAGCGAAATTGTGTTACAATTTAATTATTGCTTGATTTTTTTTAAGTAGGCAGTTTGTTTGGTAGGTATTGAGAAGCTTGGTGGCACAGGTGGCTAGTGCGTTCAGCTGTGATTGTTGAAGTTAAGCAACTTTCGCAATGGTCGGTCATTGGATGGGTGACCAAAAATCTTCTATCTCGAGTTCCTCCGTGCTTTGGAAGGCACGTTAAGCCGTTGGTCACGGCTACATCTCACTCAGACAATCAGTCGTTAGCACCCACCAATCCGCACTCGGCACTCGTGGTTCATGGCCCAATCTCTTTATTACATGGCCTGTACCTCAGCAGTGGGGACATTAATAGGCTGATGATGATGATAATTTTCAAGTATGAGCAGAAGCTAGATAACCTGTATCTATACTTTAATATTACAAACCCGAATCCCCTTATTAATAAACAATGAATAATTTTAGACTAGTTATATCGTGTTTTGTTCATATCACACAAGTGCCATTTGTAATTCAATGAACAGAGACAAAAAATAAAGAGTAACTAATCTAATCTTATTCGCTGTTTATTAATAAGAGTTTAGTTTATTTGTTTGGTTGAACGCGCTAATCTCATTAAGGTTAAACATTTTTAAAATATATTTTTATATTAGATAGTACATTTATCGAGGAAGGCTATGGGCTATATTATTACATTACGGTACGACCAATAGGAACAGAGCATTTAAGAGATTCCGTTGCGTGTTAAAGTTACATAAAATTCATGTGAATTGTTTCCCTTAAAAAGTTCTATAAAAAGTCCACGACAGGACATATCCATTTTTTAACTTTGGCTCATAATAACAATGTTCCTCAAATTACCGCGGATAAAATCGTAAATAAATGGTAAAGAAAAAAGGAAGGCAAAAGATTTCTTGCTCGAACCAGATTGAATTTTTCATTAGACTATATTATAGAATTAATAACTATAGTCAGTATGTAACAATTTTGTTAACTAACGCGATGCACTGGTTATATCTAAACTATGAAGCCAGTGATTCGCGCACACAATGAAATTTATAGCTGTACTCTCATCCCGCAAATATTTTTCATTTGGGTTTTCCCCCGAAACAGGTTTATTAGAGTTTATTGACGGTGAATCCGAAATAATTTCGCGTAGTGCAAATTCGTGAATTGATGTACCTTTGTTTTTTATTGTGTAGTTTCATCACGCTTCGGTTTTGTTTTTTTTTGTAAAATATCTTTTGATGAACCTGCGCAGACGAAGGATTTTTGTCCGCAGACTTTCTTGTCCGGCAAATAGATTGTGTACAACTTCATCAAGTACCACACACGACGAATTAAAAGTACCGTGAAGATAGTCCCCTGAACAACCGAAGACACAGAGAGACAGGATTGTAAAAAAAATACGCAGGTATCCCCGAAAATAACAGAACTTACGAGTATGTGATTAGGTGCAGCAACGTACACGGCTAGCTTTAGTCCGCGTTGTGCACTCGAGCAGATTTTAAAGGATAAACCCAATATATCTTTCAAAAGTATTATCCTTTTCTTAAACAAATTTTCAATTTAATAAACATATTCGTATAGCGTGCCTAAATTTCCTAGCAACAAATGTTTGCAAATCGCGTGCTTTGAGTCAGCAATGAAACCTGAACGGACTTTTTTTACGATTCGGGGACTTTTTCCTACACGGTAAAAAATCATTCTTCTGTGCAGGTCATAAGTGCTGGAAGTACGTACGTCTATGTAGAATAGAATGCTTGGAATAATAAAATAAAATCAGTGTTCTTTATATATCCTTAATTTGGTGTAGCGTTTGATCTGCGATCACGGAAACTCAGCAACTCTCATTGAGCTATTTACAACGGCCAATCATAGGATGGGTGACCAAAAAAAAAATGATCTCGTTCTCCTCCGTGCGACAGGCACGTCAAGTCGTTAGTATCGGCTATAGAACACAGAATGAGGTTAGAAGGGTGATCATAGATCGTTTGTGTGAGAACCGACGTCGCCGACTCGCTCCCACTACACTTCCACCTAATAGATAATAGCCAATCAAACGACGCGACATCAAAGAATCGAAGCAATCAGCGCTCACACCCGAGAGCAACGATGCAATCAGAACCATTTTATGATCAAGATATGAGCATTTGATTACACATGACTGTGGCGCGCCTACCCCGCCCACAAGGCAATTCTAACCACTTTCTGTGTTCTGTGGTCTTGGCTGCATCTGCAGTCGTTGGCACAGTAGCATTCCACCAGTCTGTACTGAGTCATGGAGCTATCTCCTCATTCCAGCCTGTGTCCCAGCAGTGGGATGGCCGGGATGTAGTACTTTGCCATGCTTTGTTCATATGAAAAACATAGTTTACATGCCTTCGGTTTTTGTAGCTCAAAATTTATTAAAAGTATACATTTTAATAGGAAGAAGTCTTTTGAACGGCTCTTTTAATTAGCGCCATATTTATTTTTCTCGGTCGCACTTTCCATGATTTTCTTATGCGTACATGTTGTGTTCATTTGCATCATGTTGAACTACAAATAGTCCATTTAGGGTTCTGCGCCTAAAACGTGACACCTGAGATGAGTGATGGTAGTGCTCGTGGTGGCCTATCTCATCATGGTGTCTTTTGTGGTCATGGTGGTATCCGCTCTTTTCGTGGTGGTGCTCGTGGTAGCCGTGTTGGTGGTATCCCTGGTAGAAGGGAACTCCCTTCTTATGACCATGTTTGTGATGCTGTCCATCGTGACCTTCTTCGTAGCCAGAATCTCCATGCTTGTTGTGGAAGTGCTTGTCCTTCTTGAATTCATCTATTTTGTGGACACCATGGTGACCCTTGTTTGAGTGACCTTTGTGTTCATGACCCTTTTCTATGAAGCCGTGAGGCCTTCTTTGCCTTTTCGCTATGGTGGTGCTCATGATGGTGGCTTCTTTCGTGGTTCAGTGATCAGATGATCAGATGATCACTGAACCACGTCCGATTGAAAGTCTGTTAGCGAGCTGATAATGATGTTAGCGAGCGAGTTTATCATAACATATTCTCAGCTATCTTTAATTTCCATTGCATTTATTAAATAAATTAAAATGGAACGTGACTTTTTCTACACTTTTTGCGTCACTCTTAGTGGCCGCACGCCACAGCCATAAACGCCGCCACGAGAAGCTAGAAGAAGCTAATAAAGTGGCTGAAGCGTGCGACAGCGGCCAACTAATAACTGTGAGGGTGAGAGGGGTGGGGAATCGCGCGAGTGACGTGTGGCGGCGTATTGTATCGGCGCAAGTGGCCGATGCAGGCAACAAGAAGCAAGCCACGACGATTTGTAGCGTGTGGCGGCCACCGGCGTACCGTGTATGGCGAGTCCATATAAAATATATGAAAACTACAAGAAATATGCCGGTGGCGGCGTTTTGTGGTTGTGGTCGATGGCCCGTGTGCAGTGACACTTACAAGCGTTATTCAAAATTTTCTATGCTCTTTCAGGGCATCACATAGAAACCTATCCTATTTATGAACTACTTGTATTGTTAATGTGACATGCAATAAATGATTTTGATTGAAAAAATAAAATATTACCTATATTTATCGACATCCACGCAAACGCTATCTTTCTTGACGTATCAGCTATCTTCGAGTTAGGACTTTATCACCACTTAACATCAGATGGGGTTGAGTCATTTGCCTTCCTGGCAATTAAAAAATACGAAGTCACGGGAAGAACTAGTTTAACGGAAGATTCACAATCTATTGCAAATAATTGAGGTATGTCGATATGTGGTGGTCTGTTTAAGGACTAGAAACCTTCGTGCTCTAGTCCCCCTTAGGTTCGAGTGGTCTAGAGTCTCCAGACGGAGAGGACACTCCCCCGTGGGGAGATGCCATCCACCATGAATACCTCTAGAGACACTCGCCAATTCTCGGCTTGAGATCCCCTAAGGATCTCGCCGTCCCCAAACCCGGTGTCGCTGTAAAGGTCTTCTGTGACCAACACTACACACTAGTGATGTAACGATTATACAGCATACAACTAGTGATGTAACGATTATACAGCATACAACTAGTGATGTAACGATTATACAGCATACACACTAGTGATGTAACGATTATACAGCATACACACTAGTGATGTAACGATTATACAGCATACACACTAGTGATGTAACGATTATCCGCATTCGCATTCGCGAATATTCGCATTCACATTCGCATTCGCAAAATCTCTGCGAATGTTTTGCGAATATGAATATAAAAAAAAAATTAAGAAGTTGTAGTTCTTCCTTTTCTTGAATATTCATTGTTACACAGCTTGCATTTAGCTCGTTCAGCATCGCAAAGTGTGAAATAAGTCCATATTTCACTAGAATTTGATTTACTCATGTTAATTAATCACTATTCAAACTCTAACCTCAAAATTCACTTGTTTACGAAAAGACCGGTGCGAGGTGAATGACACTTCAGTCGGATGAGTTCATATCAACTCGGCAATTCGAACGAGACTGCAACCATGCCATAGACAATTGGCGCCAATTTTGAACAAAAACATATATATATTCGCATTCAATTCAATGTCAGTACCAGATATTCGCATTCAATTCAATGTTCAAAAAATTACATTCGTTGCATCACTAATACACACTAAAAGAAGTGCTCTAGTACAACTCGCACTTGACTAGTTTTTTTTTTTTTTGTTGAAGTTCTCCCATATAAGGGAACAATGCCCATACAGCCTGGTCTTTAATAAAATTAATCTTCTTTTTGTTTTTACATTAGAATGTCAGTGTGACGCATTCTAATGTTTCTTGGAGTGTTTGGCACGAAATGTATCGAGTGGGCTTTTTCGATAAGCTTCTGTGAGGTAGTCAACACTACAATAAAATTCTCACGTCCACTTGACCGGAATAGCGTATATTTTAACGATTCCACTAATTCTTCAGTTACGCAGACGGTTGTTACACAAAACCACACCAATTTCAATTTTATTTCACAATATCCACTATGAACGAATTTAAGAATAATTAAAATAAGACGTCAAGTGCACTCGATGAAATCCCGCCAAAAACACCTAGTTTTTTTTTTTCATTTCCATTCAAACTTGACAGAATTCACGTGAAGGCAGAAGCTAGTAATAAATGATGCCTCATTGTATAAGACTGCTTCTGCTAAAAGGATTTGCTCGATAATGTAAATTTATGCAACGTTTTAACAACTGTCAATCGTTCAAAGACGGCTACAAAATTAAAAGAGGATTATTTAGTATTCTGTATAATGGAGGTTGTGAAATGTCACCTTAGCATCTCGAAGTAATCTCAATTCAAATTTCTCAAACCCGGTAAAATGCAAAAGTTCGATAGCGCAGTTTGAGGCGAAGTTGTTTTTGAGATCAGTGGGGCATGATCTTCATGCAAATTGATAGATTTGAAACTCATTTCCTTCGATCAACAATACTATAGATAACGGATTGCATACAAAATCAAAGCTAAACACTGTACGCGTTAGCTATACTTAGCATCTGTATTCGATTCCCGATAAACAAAGGCAAAGGTTTTAAAAGAGTTTAAGTTGACCCTAATGGCAACCATGTCACAAAGGAATAAAGTTACAAATAACGAAATGTTATATCGTACATACGACCTTTTACTGACCGGCTCATCGGCTGTGTATTAACCAAACTAATGGGAAATAAGATCTCACGCCTCAAGTGAGGCTATATTTACCTTTATCTATGGTATTGTTGATCGAAGTTCATTTCATCATATATATATCTTATACATATTATCATTCACATATCCACATTTCCATCGCTTTTATCAATTCTAACCCTTGCTAATATTTGTTATTATGCAAAAGTTTCCAAGTAAACAGAATCACATCAGATCAGTGGAATAGGCAAACTAGGAAAGCCACGTTAAAAAAAGCACGCTAAGTTTACTACCTCAGAGGTGCCGTGGAAAGGTATGCATATTGTGAAGCTAACAAATTTTTGAATCGTTATATCTCGCGAACTGTGTCTCTTAAGCAAAAAAAAAATATGAATACCTTTTAAAGGTTCCGTAATCAGCCCTGACAAGGAACCCTTATACTTTCGTCATAACCGTCTGTCCGTCTTAATATGCTAATTAGTGCGAATGTTGAAAATATTTATTTATAGCTGGATACCCATCGTACAAACCACTCGGTCGAGGAGGTTGTCATAGCTATAATGTTAGTGACCACGAAAGTTTAAAACATTAAAAGTACAGCCACTGTCTGCACCATAGGCACCCACCAATCAATTTGAGGACATTTAGTATGGCCTATATTATTTATAATGACTTACTAGCAACCGCTCGCGACTTCGTCCCCGTTAACTTTAGTTTTTTTGAGAACCTCAGAGGGACCTTAAATTATTTGAGGATAAAGAGTATCCTAATTATGTTTCAATTTAGTAATAATCTATAAGTTTTTGCGTGATTAAGTAACAAACATGCAAACATACCAACTTTCACATTTCTAATCATCATCATCATGTTCAGCCTATTCATCACCCACCCACTGCTGGGGCACAGGCCTTCCCTATGGATGGAATAGGGAGATTGGGTGGTGATCCACCACGCGGGCACAGTGCGAATTAGTGGGTGCTAACGACTGCAGATGCAGCCAGGACCAACGGCTTAACGTGCCTTCCGAAACACGGAGGAGCTCGAGATAATAAGGTGTGGCGTTTTTTTCACGCCCGATCAACTGTGCTTGTTATACAAAACGCAAGTGCGGTCCTGCGTGGAATATTGCTCGCACCTCTGGGACGGCTCCGCTAAGTACTTACTCGATGCCTTGGATAGGTTGCAGCGGCGCGCTGCCCGCATCATTGGCGATGAAGAGGTAACTATGAAACTTGAGTCTCTACAGTTACGTCGCTATGTGGCATCATTAAGCGCATTCTACCGGCTATACCACGGCGAGTGTTCTGAGGAATTCTACTCCCTTATCCCTCCATCACCTTTTATTCAGAGGACCACGCGCGCTGGCCTACGTTGCCTCCGACTTACTGAGGTCACTATTCCTACACGAACAAAGAAAGGAGATTGCTCAGCTTCCATACATGTTTGGCCTAAAAACCAATAACCATGAAAAATTGTTTCCTAGATTCGAAATTATATATAAATTACCGTAGAAACGAATATTATCGACGGCCACTCTTGAGAACTTCTATAAACCATATACACTGAATGATTTTGAGGTTATGTTTGCAAATAGGCACATAGGTATTAGAATAATAAAAACCAAATAACTTATATAGGAAAATAGGGCAATCAAGCCAAGTACCGATATTATGTATTAGATTCAGGTATATAGAGCATGTAAAATAACAGATAATTGCCTGTTTTTAAAATTAATGCACAAGAGTCAGTTTTAAAATCATGATTATGCCATTGCGACTTTCAGAAGCAATCTTGTTTCATTTGACAAGTGTCTAACACTAATTACACTAACAAAATGCATGTCAAGGAACTGGTACCTGCTTACCTATGTTATGAGAAACATGGAACTGTTATCATAATTTTATAAAAACCAATAGGATATTTTCTTAGTAATAATTAGTTTTATAATGGTAAAAGGTAATTCTAATGAAATATTATATTGCGTAGGTTCATGATCGTTCTGATCAATGTGTGAAATATGTATATTCCTGACATAGCTTAAATATTCTGATAAGGTAAATTAATGAAATAAAACAACTTAAGTACTTTTATGTTGCGTTTAATATTACATATCATCTACATTTTGAATTAAAATATCATCGAAATATTTTATCTATCTTTACAAAATAGATTTGTTTTGATGTTATATAAACAACCTCGATCAGTCTTTGTGAATGTTACTACACCCATAGCCAATAAAAATGATTCGTATGTTTTCCAAACCGGTAAAAATAGAAGTCCTT